GTGTGAGTGCTGTTTCGTTCAACCACACGATGTGCTCCAAAAAGTCCGAATCACGTTCGTGTTCTCGTAGAAGCCACTCGCGGTACTGAAGACGATGATGATTAATCATCAAGCATGACACCTTGAACCCGTGAGCAGTGGTATAGACACAGGCCCTCATTCTGAAGAATTAAACGGACAGCGCGAATATAATCTATATAGGGTGAATATCCAGTGGATTAAAAATATTTATTACGCAGCCCAGCTTAAAAACAGTTTTCACTCTACTGGAAAACGTTCGTCCTTGTAACATTATTATTTCATTCCGTAGTTTCTCCTTCATCCTATTCCATATTCCATGCTTTAATTTCTGAACGTATGTACTGCATTACCGTGTTCATACAAAACTACAGAAACCACAAAATGTCCTGTAGTCCGTTAACGCACAGCATATGCTGCGGTTGCACTTCATTCCCATAGGAAGGGCTGAAAGAAGACCAGTACAAGAGACTTGAATAGGTTGTGGTGTACAGCATAACATGAAAAATTTGAAGGCAATGAACATTTATTGCCGTCTGAGTGCTGTACCTTGCTTAACAGTCGCAGCATTACATTTCCTCAGATTTGTTGTTCAAGTTCTGTGTTAGTGAAGACCATCTGGAGATGCTCTGCTTTAAACGAATAACTTAATAAAATGGATAGTTTTGATATTTTCGCTCTCAGTCATACAGGTGTCCCATAAAGATGTGTATATATTATATGGCCTATTAAATTCGTGTATACATCTTTTTGGGGCAACCTGTATTTAGTGTCTTCGCTCTTAGTTCACTTATCGCAGCCCAGATTTATTTAAGGAAACGATTTTTAATGACGAGTCCAGTAATATGTTTCATTCCACAGAATTTTCTTGTTTCACTGGAGATTTATCCATGCATTATTCCTGACATCGTGTGGGAAGACCGCGAGATAGAGTAGTGGTACCAATTCCATTCCTTTTTCCCTGTTCCCCCTTTCAACACCTTCTGAACTAATTGGTGGATCGGCATTAATCTTTGTTGAACATAATTCCATCTTTATACTTTCAATGACTTGTAATGAACTGCTGAAACATGGCGGCTAAAAGACTCGGGAGTGACACTAGCGTCAATTTTGTGTTGTAATATCTTCGAAAAACAATTAACAAGTAGATCTACGGTTCCTGAAATTTTGTGTTGTAATATCTTCGAAAAATAACTATGCAATTTGTGTTATTTGCAGCCGCGCCAAACCTGAATCCAGCTGTCTGTAACAAGAAATTATTTGCAGCAGCGCCAAACCTGAATCCAGCTGTCTGTAAGCTAGGCATGCGAAATATAATAACAATGTTGTCAATTTTACATGAAACTTTGAGATTATGTGAGACAAATTTAACACAACTGAAACCTGTATTTGTGCAAATTATGGATTCTACATAAAGATGCCTTACATGAATTAAGTAACCGGAAGACGGAAATGATAAGTAATAAAGAACTTCACGAGTTACAGTGTTAAAAATATAATTAAGTTGGTCAAATCAATAACAGTGATGTGAACGCGACATGACACACGCATAAGAAAACCGAAAATACGTACATAATGCAGGTCGGAAAATCTACAAAGAAGAAGTAATTTGGTGTTGCATCTTAAAGTAAGAAGATGTCGGGGGGCTGGTTCTTGTGTGCACGGAACAAGTGTTCGCCTTCCATACGATACGGTTGAGAGATTGATGCCTTCCTTGTCAAGACTGCCTCTGTTATATGGAATTATTCCATCAGTTACTCGTGGAGTGAGATCGTTAACACTGAGTGCTGGCTAAGTGAATATTATGTTCATTGTACTTTCGTAAACTGCACTTGCTGCAATCAGAATTTTTATGTACACTACACACAATTATTCGTTCAAATTGTTATCGTAGCTCTTAATGCAGTCATTAATTTTATTATATTAACAATTTCAAGGAAATGAATGTTAATTGACTCAGAGAACTGCAATATCATCAGAACCAAGCTTTACGTGATACGAAACCAGTAAGGGAGCGAAGTGCAAGCTTTTCATTCTTGTACTACAAGATTTTCTATTCAAGCAAGTCAAGTTATTTTTTATGTCTCTGTTGGCTTAAAAATTCCTCCTTTTCATTCCGGCATTCCGAAAGATATATAAGAAAAAAACAGGTGTGGAACGAGTGGAAGTATTACTTGAATATTTGATACATTTAATTTCAAAATGTATTATCTGCGAGTAATAACATATCACTGTACTGAATATTCACATAACATTGCACCTGCTAATTCACTGTCACAAAACTAATCAATATACTCTCGCACACTTTTAAAAATCTCTCAATATGTAAACATAAGTAGAATCCTAAATTTCCGAATTGAATACTCATACGGAACGTCGCACCGCGGTGCAGCGGTTGAGCTTCTGTGTCGCACTTCGTACGACCAAAATTCAAATCTCCCCCTTAAACCGGCCACGTTGTTTTCCTCAGCCTTTTCTCATATTATAAGCTTCCTACTTCATTATTCAAAGTCTATAATTCATAAGCCTATGCTAGACATTATATAACCAACGCAGCTGTTAAGTCATCATTACAAAATTTGTAAGGGAACAAAGTATCGCTATGGTATATAAGGAATATGATATTCTACGGTACTTGATCCCTGGGTTGTAAATAATTGCGACAGTGAGATACGACTTTAAGAAACACAAGTTAATTTCCACTTTTCATGCTTTACGTGACCACTGCGGCAAAGTTACAGCACACACAACAGCGACAAAGAATACGAGTTAAATCTATCTGAGAGAACCGATAGTTAACACAACTCTAAAATGAGTGTCGTGCCACGTCGTCACGGAAACAGTTGGTCTAGATATCATCCTATAACACCCTCCAAAGCCATATGCCACTCTGTGCCGACCTTTCACCTTTCAGAAGATATATAACGCTAGGGAGAGTACGCGATGACTCCAACAGACCAAGCGGATTTCACCATGGTATTTGCCATCAGCAGACTCAGGTTCCTCAAGTCCCACGATTCTGTTACTCACTCGCTGATATATTTATCGAGCTTAAACTTCAAGCTGTGTCACCAAATTATAGGCATACAAAGCAATAACAACTGTGCAAAGGCCGAAATGCGCATTTGTTAATATTTATTGCCGTTTGCCTTTATGTAACTTACCAATGCGAAATTAATAATGAAAATAATGAAAGAACGTACAAATTTTCTGAAGCGATTTATGTTACTTTCTACTTCTCTATGTACTTCATATAATGTTATTGCCGATAATATTTCATTTATTCTGGCAGAAATATAGACTTCAGTCCGTAACAGTTAGCAACTCCAAGTTATTACCTGACAAGGTCGATTAAGAACCGAAATAGTCACACGAAGATCTTTCAATTTGATACATTTTAAACCATCCAACGGGAATGGAAAATAATTTAAGATAACTTTATAATTAAGAATAACAAAAATGTCACAATCTATTATTTTGTTGATAAACAAATAGTACTCAACTTTCATTACAGAAATAAGCGCCAACAGTTGTTAATCTGAAGCGGAGATTCAAATATTAAGTAAATTAAGCGTAATATTTCATTGTATTTTATAAAACATAGAAATATATGACATCGAAAAATGTTCCAAACAAAACTTAAAAGACAATATTAATTAGATAAAATGAAGGTATCCCTAAGTCTTGCTTTACGTACGATCTTAATTTTCATAATTCGCATCCTCTCTGAACCTATTATTACAAGCAAATGTTGGCGTGTACGTTACTTTATCTAAATAGACAAGTTCACACCTTCCAGTTAAACACGATGAAATGTAAAGCAGCTGCTGTTAAAATATTGTATATCATACGCTTTATTTCTTCTCTGTTCCCTTCCTTCATTTGTTTCTGCCACACGAAGTGAAATACAGACGCAATTAGGATACAGTAGCGCAATTTGCTGAAACATATAAGCACCATATTTACTGCAGAACAACTTAATTACATCTCAAGTACATTATCAGAGAAGAAGTGCTCAGACGCGTTAAGTAGTCTCAGAAAGTTACTACAAGAAGAGATAGAATGCTTTCAGGCGACTGTGTTGTTAAGTTTATACAGAAGTCGTCGCCTGCTATAACGTGGAATCCAAGAAATTCTATAAAGCAGGGAATCATCAGACGTGAAACAACTGGAATGTAACCCAAGTATCGCTAGTAAGAATTACCAACTAACCATAATGTTCGGTGGTTTGGGATCTGTGGATCAGAGAAGGCATACGAACGAACTATGCGTGTAGGACAGACTTTTAGAGAAAGAACCCTAATAGTTGCTAAGATAGTCAAAACATTGTCCACCTTTCATGAAACCCGAAGTTCCATTACCGTCAGTCTGATTCCCTGTAAAACATTTCGTAACATGCTGATTTTTATGGTAGGTAAGTTGTTATTTAGTTACTGGCGAAACCTCAGGTTCGTGGACCACTTCTTGTCGGATTCCCACAGTTGCTTACGCAATACATTCGCAGCTACACTCCAAACTTGCAGGTCATATCCACCCTTAAACATAGGACGCCTCATGCCCTAGCGAAAAGGGGTGGTTCAAAAGAATGTTACATTTCTATAATGATAATAACTGAACGTAGTTCCTAATAATTTTAATGGTATTTCCGCCCGTCTGTATAAGTCGAGTGCAATTTTGCATAAAACGTAGACAACCACAATACGGTCAATAGACATATCCTGGATTATTACTGTTTCAGCATTCTGATGACAAAGTAAATCAATTTTAGACCCAGTGTCTGCATAAGACATGAAAATGGTTATATCAACATACGATAACTTAAAAATGCGACAGGATGCACGTCACATGTAGGATATGTATTTATAATGTTCAATTCAAAATTCATTATTCGTGTTATTAGATGGAACATGCAACCTACGGACAGTAGCCAAAATCATAATGACGATGTGGTACAGACTGTGCTCATGCGATGCTGTACTTACTGGAAAGTTGGCCGTTGCGTCCGGGAGAAGTGCGCGGGAGTGAGCTGTCGTCTTTCGTTACCCGGCGATCAGGAGGGCTCGCAACTGCAACCACACAAATAACAGGCGTTTCAGAAGCGATCGTGAAACACTTGTGCTTTTAAAATAGCTGTTGTGCTAAATTTGTTCTCGACATAACAATACGCAGATTACAATAAAATAAAACCCTGAAGTCTGTCTGACTCGTTCTTTTCCGATAAACGGTAAGTTGCAGGAAACAGGGAATAAAAACATAACGCCTCTTCACAACAACATTTAACAGTGGCATTAATGACATTGAGAAAATTGATTATTAGAATCTCACGCGAACCGTGTGCTAAGATAATTGTAAGAGGCAAAGTGTTTCTTTGCAAGTATGTTTTAGGATAATAGACTGGTATTCTATTCCGTAGCCCACATGCCTATTAACATTTTCAGCGTTGTCCACAAGAAACTGTAGACTTATCAACGCTGTAATTTACAAGAGTTATTTATTTAGCATCAAATTATGTGAACTTGAAAGGCATGACAAGGCAGCGGTACTGCAGTATCAACATTTGTTTAAGGGATTGAGGATAACCAAAATAAAAAACCCTCAGGATTATTTATTCCGATGAGGTGAGACTATGACTCTGGAACTAGTCTAAAATCGCTTAGACTATAAAGTAGTGAATATTAAGCAGTGGTGGAATAACAGGGAAAAACCGAAGGAATTGAAAATAAACTTGTCTCAGTGCCACTTAGTGTAACATAAATATAGTAGAACCTCGTTATACCGCGGCTGTGGTCATGTCCCCCAATACGATTACACATGTCTTACATATTTCACATATAAAGCGGGAATTGAAGCTTTCCCCCAAAACTCGTGTTATATCGAGGTTCCACTTTACTACATGAACTGTCATTAGCCTCAGCCTGAGCTACAACACGGTATGAACATTCATTATAGTCAGTGACCCAGTCGAGGTGCGAACTGGTATCTCTTGAACTTAAATCATAAGCGTTACAGCATGAAGTCCAGGTCTGAAAATGGGGAACATAGCGTAATAGGTGGTAATACTTCTACTTACAGTATCATCTCATTAAGATTTCCGTCTTCTGGGTTGTCTTCAAGCTACTGCTTACACTGACAAGCCAGTGAGGAAATTGAAGTTCTGCAAGGAACAAAATGTTAGAATTTTAACCGGCATGTTCCGAGGAGCACGTGGTTCAATTCTCAAGTTTATCTTCAAATATGTTACCTGTATCCCACCAACGACTCAGCCCGAACGAAGCCCAATCTATTTACAATTTGCCCTAACTATCGAATCATTACTACATTTCTATTTTACTGCATGCTGGTAATCCTTGAATGGATTGTTGAACGCGCATATGAGATTGTTTTGAGATTGAATGAACGGTACAAAGATATCGGATGCGGAGATCGTAGGGTTTCATCTCAAACTATTTCTGGGAGGGGACAACTACGAAAATAAGAGAGATCAATTGGATGAGATCTGTTTCCGGAGAACGAACTTGTCATGAACAGAAGATGAGCGCAATTACAAATAACGTTTTATTTGCGAAAAAGTCCGTAAAACTACGAAAGTTTGACTGCTACCTTTTGAAACAGACCAGGACCAGACATAACTGTTCTACCAGGCCTGGGCCCCTGTAGCTCTCTACAGCCGTGTTACGTATTCGGCGCCCCGCGGCACACTAGCGCGTCGCCACAAATTATCATAAGTGACATGACTTTTTATAAGAAACTGATTATTCGCACGTTATTGTTAGAAAAAGACAATATCTTATTTTCATGATTAGAATTCATAAAACACACACATACGAGGTGCGATCGGAAAGTTTCTAGACTGTGTCAATAGAGGGCGAACCGGATGTAGTACGAGCTTCTGCCGCTAGGGGGTGAGGCCTACATTAATAGTGAATCAGTATTTACAAAAAGTCCGCCATTATGTCTGTCTGTGTAGGGTAGGTATGATAACCAACTCAGTTATTTAATATCCCCGGAATTATATTAGCGTCGACACATGCTTAATTTATAATTATAATAATATTTAATATTTGAAGGATGCATACAAATCTTCCCCGCACTCAAAACGGTTTATATCCCGTGTTTAGCCGAGACGTTACATAAGCTCAAAGCTGATATAGAAATTGTTTATATAAAATAGGTGAAATAATACAGGATAAGTCAAAAGTAGCTGCACAAATTTGGAGAACTGTAACCGTGTTACCTGCAGCCAAAATGTGCTGATATCAGCAGATATCTGTAGAGCGTAACCTCGAGTTTCGTTTGTTTGTTGTAGTTCTTCACATTGCCGCTGAGAGCGCTTGTGAATTGTGGGAAACAAAATGGAGACTTACAGTGGCAAGGAAAGAGCACATTATGTGTTCCGGTGTATCTGGAAGAACATTTAATGGACCCGTCTGTGTCTGTCTTATTTTCCTGAGAACGAGACAACACCTTGTTGAAGAACATTGTTTTACAACACAAACCGACGTCATTATAAACACAGTTGGTTTCTCATCGATAGTTTTATCGAACATGTGTTATATATTGTCTTCTATGCCTGCAGTCTTGTAGGAGAAGTATTTATATGTGGATACATATTTATAGCCATGTATAGTTTTATACTCTGAAAAGTACTGAAAGTATAAAGCATTATATAAGATTCTAACATATTTGTGAATATACAAATATAGTGATCCTAAAATCGAGCCAGGAATGATTTTTTAACTTGATTTTAGGAGTGTAACACGATACTTGTATTTATTGAATGTAATTATGAAATAGCCGGTATTGACGTACCTACTCTTTAAGTGTTAGAAGAAGGGGGTTAGTTCTTAAAGTGGGATATCTCGCTCCTCTCATAAAACTGTTGAAATTAAATTCAGCACACCACCTACGTTTTCTCCCTAGTCATACAATTTACATATTATTCGCAACGTCCTTCGGAAATACGTATCGTTAATCCTTCCCAAAGTCTTGCGGTTATGATAAATCGTACGATTAACCAGTACTCCAACTTTTACAACCTTTTTCTGTAAAACGTGTTAACAAAAATCTACGTGTATGTTAAAACGTATGAAGGACCGAACAGTATATAAAAACAGTCCAGCGGCATGTACAGTCTTCATAACTACATAACTGAAATTTTTCATATTATGGAGCTAAATGATTGTATAATTTATGTCCGCTTATGGTGTACGCTTAAGACACAGAAAGCCTGTAACAGCTTATATTAAACTATATCTCAGCCAAGGAACTCAAGAGTTTTTAAGTCTTCCTTTATTTCACGCTTAGTGGATCCGTTATGACTACGTCCCTCAGGATGCGGATGGATGTAATTGGTTTACATTATTATTGAGATTAAACATAACAGAAATGACAAGATCACGAGTGTATGGGCATGTGGAAACAAAGGAGGAACGAACACTACACCTGCCAAAATAACAAATCCACCGTACTCAATAAAACATGCAAGGTAAATATAAAACCATGATATATACTATAAATTTATAAAGCTATGGAATTTTAAGGTGCGCGCTAGACTTAAGCATGAAAATAAAACAAAGGGCCAATACGAAAACAATGTCATTGCATCATCTTCTTAATTTTCTCAGTCGTAAATTTACAGGCGTTCTGTTGCAGGCTACAGCTTTTAAATTTTGTGGCTATTACATCTATCTAACTTTATGTGGAACTAAAATCAAACATAATAGATTTTTATAAAACTACTCAACGGACAAAACTATGTAAGCGTACGTGACAAAAAAATTGGGCAGTATTTAACAAAATGCAAGGAAAAACTTAATGAGTCCAGTGTTATGTCTGCAGTGCGATTAGATTTGCAAGAATTCATTTTTATGTCCAGTAAATAAGCATCGAGATCAATGAGGTACGTAAAACAGCACAGATCACCTAGGCCTACTCAAAAGTGTTCTATACCTTCACATTGTAGTTATAAATACATACTATGGAGAGAAAAATGGTTCTGAAATTTATACACTGAAGAGCTTGCAGCAGACGGCCATAATTATTCTAAAGCCCAGTTGTGCTAATGCAGCAAAATATTAACACTATCCACGACCATATTCACTGACCACTGTATAAATAATGGAGGGTCTCTGGGGATATAAATGCGATAACTACGCATCAGTGGTTTCTGATACCTATTGTGAACTGCAGTCATTCAAAATCAGTATTGCTGAACACAACTCTGTTGTAGTAGACGCTGTTTCACATAGTCCTCTTACTTGTCATAACCCTATGCCTGCGCGAGAGGAGAATAAATAGATCAAAAATAGATAAAAGTAAAACATACTGATAGCGACTGAGCTATTAACGAATTTTTGGGAAATATCATGAGGTTCATCCTTTACTTCAATCATAACCAGGTTGTATTCTTCCGCTCCAGCTAGCACTTCTTTCGTTCCAGCCCAGAACGAGATAGTCTGTTTAGTTTCAAAGCCTATTAGAGAATAAACCTACGTATTCTCCAAGTGACTTCAGCTGTGAATCATGAACGACAATATTAGTATAAAATGCCCATTTATGCATTTACTTACGTCAGTGATAATTTATTGGCTGTCAGGTAGATGGATGACTTCCACGTGTGAATCCGTGTCAGAATACTAAGGCACTTCGTCGCTGCTTGTTTCTGAATCGGCTATGTTGATAAGCTGATCTTCCACGTTATCGGAGAGTTCATCAAGCTCCAACATCCTTCCCACATCCTTAATGACGTGGTCAATATCACCTAGCCATTTCTGAGACATAATTTCCAATAAAGTGGAAATGACGAAGTTTGAATGTTGGTGTTGTGTCTCACCATTTAACCATATACCTAGCGCCATACCAACTCTGTCGGTCAAGTTACAGTGATATGCCCGCAATATTATAACCACACGTCCAGCTGTGATGGAAAGTTCGTGTCGTTTTCAAGACCCGTAAATCAGTCGCTTGTTCCCAATCGGTACAAATATTAACATCCACAAAATTATTTACGGTGAACAAAGTACGAGCGTGTTGTTAAACTGATACATAACTGTCCTTTACGCAGGTCACTAGATATGAATGATGAAATCAGGCACCATTTTTTAACGTCACGTATATCCTGGGAGGAAAGTGTCAAATTACAGCGCACGCCAACGTATGTTAACGCCAAGATTTAAGTAAGAATTAACAGAAGATGGGTGTCTTCTGGGTTATTGCGCCGTGTCCTCATCGCCCTGATGATGGAGGCAGCAAGGACCTCTGAAACGTTGGTTAACATCGACCAGACTACACAGCGCAACAACCCAGAAGACAGCCATCTTCAGACTGAACGCCGTGAAAACCTCAAATCTTACAAGAATAAACAGACTATATAGCGTTAATTATAATTTCTACTTTTGCGACACGTGACTTGTCACCAAGAACTATCTCTCGTGTCACTGTTCACAACTTGATATCGTAGTTCATCTACTATAACTGGAGTTTTAATTTCGCTACTATCACTTTTATCTCCTTACCCATCTTATCCCGTACCTATGTGCAAATTGGCCCAAATAACCATTCAGAGGTAACTCTGCTAGGATGGACTCGACTGATTTTCTTATACAGCCTTAATTTAGATACCTTCATAAAATTACGCGACTGTACGATTCTCTCATTATTTTTTCCTAGTATTAATATGGCCGGCGCTATACTGATTTAATCACAAGTGCCGAGACAAATGACAGATTGAGTGACTACCAAGATGTACAGTGGATATGGCAGGTTTGCAAGTAATTTACAGAATGATTCACTTAGTAACCAGACTGAACAAATAAGTTAGTAAGAAAGCAACCAAAATAAGCCACATAAAAATTATTTAAATGAACGTATCTTTAAAATTAATTAACTTGCCTTCTCCATGAAGCAAAGTCTTCTTTGAGCGAGCCAAGAAACTATCCGTCTTTTATTGAATCTTAAGTTTTATTACCGTATTCAGAAAGTCCGTCAATGGCCCCATACTTTACCAGATGACTCAAGTCTACAACGTCATATTCTGTCTTATAGATCAATTTTAATACTATTCTCCCACTAACTCCTTGGTCTACCAGGCGCCTTCTTCACTCAGGTTTTACGACAAAAATTCTGTACAAATTTATCATCGCTTACAAGTGTTCTACACGCTCCGGCTCTTTTATTTCATCACTCATATATCACTTTGTGAAGACCTGTTGGCAAAATAAACGAAAATAAACAAAAATGAAAGCAAATAACCCGATAACTGACCCAATCAGCATCTGACCGGTGATACGTGACTGACTATGCAACAGCGGTAGAATCATATTAACAGGGGAAATGTTCACCTGATCTGGTTCCACATGGTCTGGCTGGGAGCGAACACGGGTCTCCTTGATGAGATGGCGGCGAATGACTGCCTGAACTACGGCACGGCCTTTGGGCTTTGTTTTATTTAGACGAAGGGATAGGCACTCACACATGACCTTTCACAAACAGAGTGTATCTCCAAGTCTGTAAGGCGATCATTGATCCCGTGATTCATTACACTGAGAGGCCGGATTTGCCGACGTCTTTATAAGCCTATACTTCAAAGTTACGTTGGCAGTCTGTCTATATAAACATTTTGATTATGGTTTCAATGATTATTAATAATCCGCTACATGTTTCGACATTAATTAATCATCCTCAAATGGTTATCTTTAGGTGTTCGATATTAACAGATGTGACTGCTAATTTTTATATATATATATATGTATACAGCAAAAATGTATATACAAATTAGCAGTCATATCTACTATTTCGAGCACTTAAAAAGAACCACCTGAATATGATCAGTTAAGGTCGAAACATGTAGTGGATTCTTAATAAACATTGAAAGTTCAAATAAGAGTTGTATAGTAGACAGACCGTCAACCTAACGTTCAAAACACAACAGGATGCATCACTTAACAGACACGGAAGCTGTTTTCGGGAGGAGGGACTATTCAGACACGTAAGTTTTGATAAGCGAAAATAGCGCCAGTACTTCAAAATGGCTGAAATTTCTGTGTCCGTAATTCTTTCCAATTCGCTGGAAAAATCATCGTTGTCCCTGAAACGACGCTATGTAACCTCTGGGACCAACACGTCATTACAAAAGCGCTAAACCTACAGCATGAAAGAATACTGGTACATCATCGGTTTTTTAATTAGTGTACAACTTTCAACACAAGTAATTATGAAAGGGCAGTGTAATAGATTAGCCTGATAATATGAAATGCTTGATATAAGACCCAAATGTTAAGTAAGCATATAAAGGTAAAACGTAAGTAACCTTAGCATACACAGTCATTAAAATGGCAGCACTAAAAGTTTAAACAAGTTTACTTTACAAAAGTTCGAAATATTTACCTGGTTTCAAGAATGCTATCCTGGGTAGTAAAGATGACCATCTTCTGTGTTGTTATGCCGTGAAATCTGGTAGAAGTTAATCGACGTTTCAGAAGTACTTGCTGCCTGCATCATCAGGATGGTCACCCTGATGGTGGAGGCAGCAAGCACATCTGCCAACACAAATAGGTTTAACTGACGATTATTATTATTATTCTGGTCGGTTTTCCAGGCAAGGCGACAGATGAGTATGATTTGTAATTCTACATTAAAATTAATAAATAAATGTCAGTTCTCAGGAATCTCAAAATGTTTCTTACAAGAGAGAAGCAGTTGTCGGGGAAACTGTAAATTATAATATGTATTTTGTTCGAGGCATAGCTGAACATGAAATAAGAGAGAAACACTAGTTCAAAATGAAAATTTAAAGACTCCGTCATAGTATTTACTATGATCCGAAGCAAATTAAGCTCTGAAAGGTCATGGAGAGTTCGATTATTGGAAGCTAATCGATTGCGAATTAGTGGTACGCAAGCGAGAAAGAGTGACGACCTCTGCACTAGTAAATGAAATACATCGTGTCACTAACGATGGACATTTGGATCTAAGCTTAGGCACTCAGAAGTAACAGAATCTTGAATTAATTTCCCATTTGGTTTCCATAAATACATAGGAAAATAAAGGACCCATATCATATATGGGCATTTCTTCTTCTTCAATAATAACGCGCACGTTTTCAGTAATCTCTTTCTGAAGTGACGTTATTTCGTCTGAATTCTCAAAGAAAATACAGACTATCAATAAAACATTAAATAGGCAGTACCGTTCCATCAACCTTACAGTGACATAGAAACGAATCCAAGAATATGAACTAACAAATTCCATGGGCAGAGTCCTTATAGAGAATCTACGAGTCACTGAGCTATTCAAGAAATTCCCCATCTTTTGTGGACCTAACGGTCCATTACTGTATTCACAAGAGTCGGCAACTGATCTCTATACTGGACTACATCAATCAAATCCATACCCTCCCATCATATTTCATAGGATCAAACAAAATATTAGTCTCCCATTCAAGCAAAAGTTTACCTACTGACCTCTGCCCTTCAGGTCTTTCAAACAAATATATAAGCATTTCTCATTCCTCGCATCGAATTTTCCTTGAGTTGATCATCCTAATAAGATTTCATTAAAAATACAAAAATTGGAGCTCCTCATTATGCAAATTTTTCCAGCCTCTTTTCACTACATCCCTTTTAGCTGAAAATATTATCCTCAAAAACACGGTTGTCAAACAACATCAAGCTATTTGCATCTTTAATGTAAGAAACTCTTTCACATCTATAAAAAAGGATAGGTAAGATTATAGTTCTGTATATTTTAAACTACAGCATTCCAATAGCAGATGTTAAGAAAAATTTTCTCACCTGTGTGTACGAAGCCTTCATCGAATTTAATCTGAGCATAATTTCCTTGTGAATCAAGTGTTTATCTATTTCGTCGTTACCAAACACAGTGTTTAGAAGCTTACACAAATTCGGAGGTTTTGTTAGCTATCTTTATATTACGATCTTCCCTGTAGTCCTTTTACGAGACACGAACATGCATTTGGTCTTCTGTGCATTTACGTCTACACGAGCCTCGTTTCTAGTATCAAATATCGCTTCTGCGTTTCTCTTAGTAGTACTTACGTTCATTAATCAATACATATCATCCACGTTTTCCGTAAGATTCATTTTAATATCATCCTCGCACCTAAACCTTGTTCTTCCAATTGGTGTCTTCCCTTTGGACTTTCTGCTGTTTTGTATAAGGCAAAGCTTGAAACAGCTTGAAATAACGGTTCGGTCCGGAGAGTAATCTCATGTTCGGGGGATGCTACAGCGTAGACGGCTTTAAACCGGCATGGCATGAGTTCGTGCCTACAGCTATCCATGTGAGATCTGTGATAGCAAAAGAGGCACTAAGATATTCCATCGCTGCTCCATTTTTATTCACATAACATCTGGGCAATGGGCGACCAGAGCTCCGCAGACACACCCCATCGCAACAAATAAAAAATACCATATTCCGGGTTTCTCCCGTCAGCAGTTAAAGAACTGTAAAAATCTCCTTAACTGGTTTGATAAACCTACAAAATAATTAAGACTAATCATAAGCGTCTTAATACAAAGGTATTATGCAAAATAATCCAACAAACTAACACGATAGTGCACAGTCCTTCTTGAGAAGCTGACAGTAGCTCAAGTAGTCAGACGTTGCCCATCTTTTATGAAACCAGAATATTAATTTTCATGTTCACAAAAGACCTGAGATGAGCCCTATAATGAATCAAGGAAATCACTCCACAACCTCCCACACGAAATTCTCAAGTTACATTATATAAAATAACAGCAGTACAAAATTCCCAGGCAGT